AAAAAAAAAAAAAAAAAAAAAAAAAAAAAAATAATAGCCAGGCATGGTGGCTCACACCTGTAATCTCAGTACTTTGGGAAGCTGAGGTGGGTGGGAGGATTGCTTGAGCTCAGGAGTTTAGGACCAGTCTGGGCAACACTGAGATACTGCGTTCCTGCCCCCTGCTACAAAAAATTTAAAAACTGAGCCAGGCATGGTGGCGCATGCCTGTAGTCCTAGCTACCTGGGAGGCTGAGGTGGGAAGATCATTCAAGCTCGGGAGGTTGAGGCTGCAGTGAGCCAAGATCGCGCCACTGTACTCTAGCCTGGGTGACAAAGTAAAACCCTGTCTCAAAAAAAAAAATTGTGTATAAGACAATTCTTACAGACAATTCACAGATGAAATTCCAGTGGCCAATAACTGGAAAAAAGTGTTCAACCTACCGCTAAGCAGAAATACAAATGAAAACAACATGTTTTTACCTATCACATTTGCAAAGGTGAGCAAGAGACAATATCCAGAGAAGGGCCTGAATGTAGGGAAACCCTCATATCATGCTGACGGCTGGGTTAACTGAAATAGCATCTGTTTATTCTCAGTCCACTAATTTCACTTTTGAGAATCTATCCCAGAAATGGAAAGTGAGTGACATGGGAAATTCCTCATGAAATCGGGTTAAGCACGCAAATTATAGGTTATATAACCATTTACACAGGTTGTATGTTTACGCATACATTTTTTCTTTGGGTGATTTTTGGGGAATCTTATAGGTGACTTTGATTATATATATTTTTACATATTTTCTATAATGAGCTTTAAAAATCAAGGGGGGAAAAAACCTCTGTGAAATGTGACATGATGAAACCAAATAAATCCAGAAATCAACTTTGAGAGTCAAAGGGTCAAATCTCTAGCACAGTCTGTCACTTCACGACTGTGGTAGGTACATGTTGATATATGTGGCAAAATCGTAAGATTGAGGACAGAGGTAAGCAGGCCACATGGCCATGGCTGGGCTGATTTTGCGGGTGAGGTCACCCGGCTCTTCACTGTGTAATACTTGAGACAGGCTGTCCCTTGGCAGGACTCAGTTTCCTAATCTGTTTAATGGTATGGGGGCGGGTGAGACTAAATAAATTTCTGAGGATCCTGGCAGATCTTGGGTAGAGGCGATAGCTCTGTTCTTGAAGAACTTTGAGAACTTTGACCTGCCTGAATTGTGGAGCAGAGTGTGACTGAGCATTGAGGTTTGTAAGTTTCAGGCTCCAGCTCCTAATCTGCTGTGGGACCTCAGCACTTGACATTGTTACCTGTTCCTGACCACCACTCTGGCCCAGCATGACCCTGCCTCTCAGCCACTGTCTCTTTTTTTTTTTT